ATTAGTCATTTGCAATAAACAGAACTCTACTTCAGGGAATAAAATCGAACCACAGTCCTCCGCGCGACAGGCAGCGAAACTGTCCACTATACTAACGAGGTAACAACTCAACACATTGAGTTATCGAGTGTCCCCAATGTTACGTAGTGTCTTTTTCTGCAACAGCAAAGCCATGCTTGTTTTTGGACTTTGAAACCACAAGAGAGAATGTAAAATGTAACAAGTAATGTAATGTAAAAGCCCTTTGACTTGGAATTTTTGGGCTGCTTTGCTGCTGGCAAAGCAATACAAAAGTGTAAAAAAGACAAGTCCTTTCCGATATTCGTCGTTTTGTTGAAGTATGCGGCTATGTGAAAGTAATAAAGAGCCAAGGAAACATTTGCCTAGTGTTAATGGCAATATTGCCCCATCGGGGAATCAAACCCCTGTATTTGCTTGATTAGCAGAGACACTCTCCACTACACTGAAGAACAAACAAACTTACGAGAGCGTGACACAGAGCACGACTCGAAATTTTTAGTCTCACTTTTTGCAACAGCAACATCGTATTTATGTTTCCACCTGGAAAACCCTAGATTGAATTTAAAAGGGGTGTTGTTGAGGATTCCGGTAAACCGTCTGTCTTTTAGCTGTCCTTAGCCAACAGCATCAAGTCATTTTCGTTTTGCAAAAGATTTTAACTCCCCGTCGGGGAATCGAACCCCAGTCTTCCGCGTGACAGGCGGAGATCCTGTCCACTATACTAACGAGGAAGCAACTTGGAAAATTGTTTCATCGAGTGCGCCCCAATTTTACATAGTGTCATGCCCTGCAACGACAATGCCAGCTTTGTTTTTCGACTTTAAAACCCCAAGTGTGAATGGGGCTGTTGCATATTCTGTGCAACTGTCTGTCTGTTGACTGGCTTAAACTTGCATTGTCCTTAGCCAGTAATCAAAAGCTGATTAGTCATTTGCAATAAACAGAACTCTACTTCGGGGAATAAAATCGAACCACGGTCCTCCGCGCGACAGGCAGCGAAACTGTCCACTATACTAACGAGGTAACAACTCAACACATTGTGTTATCGAGTGTCCCCAATGTTACGTAGTGTCTTTTTCTGCAACAGCAAAGCCATGCTTGTTTTTGGACTTTGAAACCACAAGAGAGAATGTAAAATGTAAAAAGTAATGTAATGTAAAAGCCCTTTGACTTGGAATTTTTGGGCTGCTTTGCTGCTGGCAAAGCAATACAAAAGTGTAAAAAAGACAAGTCCTTTCCGATATTACTCGTTTTGTTGAAGTATTAGGCAATGTGAAAGTAATAAAGAGCCAAGGAAACATTTGCCTAGTGTAAATGGCAATATTGCCCCATCGGGGAATCAAACCCCTGTATTTGCTTGATTAGCAGAGACACTCTCCACTACACTGAAGAACAAACAAACTTACGAGAGCGTGACACAGAGCACGACTCGAAATTTCTAGTCTCACTTTTTGCAACAGCAACATCGTATTTATGTTTTCACCTGGAAAACCCTAGATTGAATTTAAAAGGGGTGTTGTTGACGATTCGGGTGAACCGTCTGTCTTTTGGCTGTCCTTAGCCAACAGCATCAAGTCATTTTCGTTTTGCAAGATTGTAACTCCCCGTCGGGGAATCGAACCCCGGTCTTCCGCGTGACAGGCGGAGATACTGTCCACTATACTAACGAGGAAGCAACTTGGAAAATTGTTTCATCGAGTGCGCCCCAATTTTACATAGTGTCATGCCCTGCAACGACAATGCCAGCTTTGTTTTTCGACTTCAAAACCCCAAGAGTGAATGGGGCTGTTGCAGATTCTGTGCAACTGTCTGTCTGTTGACTGGCTTAAACTTGCATTGTCCTTAGCCAGTAATCAACAGCTGATTAGTCATTTGCAATAAACAGAACTCTACTTCTGGGAATAAAATCGAACCACGGTCCTCCGCGCGACAGGCAGCGAAACTGTCCACTATACTAACGAGGTAACAACTCAACACATTGTGTTATCGAGTGTCCCCAATGTTACGTAGTGTCTTTTTCTGCAACAGCAAAGCCATGCTTGTTTTTGGACTTTGAAACCACAAGAGAGAATGTAAAATGTAAAAAGTAATGTAATGTAAAAGCCCTTTGACTTGGAATTTTTGGGCTGCTTTGCTGCTGGCAAAGCAATACAAAAGTATATAAAAGACAAGTCCTTTCCGATATTCGTCGTTTTGTTGAAGTATGCGGCTATGTGAAAGTAATAAAGAGCCAAGGAAACATTTGCCTAGTGTTAATGGCAATATTGCCCCATCGGGGAATCAAACCCCTGTATTTGCTTGATTAGCAGAGACACTCTCCACTACACTGAAGAACAAACAAACTTACGAGAGCGTGACACAGAGCACGACTCGAAATTTCTAGTCTCACTTTTTGCAACAGCAACATCGTATTTATGTTTTCACCTGGAAAACCCTAGATTGAATTTAAAAGGGGTGTTGTTGAGGATTCGGGTAAACCGTCTGTCTTTTGGCTGTCCTTAGCCAACAGCATCAAGTCATTTTCGTTTTGCAAAAGATTGTAACTCCCCGTCGGGGAATCGAACCCCGGTCTTCCGCGTGACAGGCGGAGATACTGTCCACTATACTAACGAGGAAGCAACTTGGAAAATTGTTTCATCGAGTGCGCCCCAATCTTACATAGTGTCATGCCCTGCAACGACAATGCCAGCTTTGTTTTTCGACTTCAAAACCCCAAGAGTGAATGGGGCTGTTGCATATTCTGTGCAACTGTCTGTCTGTTGACTGGCTTAAACTTGCATTGTCCTTAGCCAGTAATCAAAAGCTGATTAGTCATTTGCAATAAACAGAACTCTACTTCAGGGAATAAAATCGAACCACGGTCCTCCGCGCGACAGGCAGCGAAACTGTCCACTATACTAACGAGGTAACAACTCAACACATTGTGTTATCGAGTGTCCCCAATGTTACGTAGTGTCTTTTTCTGCAACAGCAAAGCCATGCTTGTTTTTGGACTTTGAAACCACAAGAGAGAATGTAAAATGTAAAAAGTAATGTAATGTAAAAGCCCTTTGACTTGGAATTTTTGGGCTGCTTTGCTGCTGGCAAAGCAATACAAAAGTGTAAAAAAGACAAGTCCTTTCCGATATTACTCGTTTTGTTGAAGTATTAGGCAATGTGAAAGTAATAAAGAGCCAAGGAAACATTTGCCTAGTGTAAATGGCAATATTGCCCCATCGGGGAATCAAACCCCTGTATTTGCTTGATTAGCAGAGACACTCTCCACTACACTGAAGAACAAACAAACTTACGAGAGCGTGACACAGAGCACGACTCGAAATTTCTAGTCTCACTTTTTGCAACAGCAACATCGTATTTATGTTTTCACCTGGAAAACCCTAGATTGAATTTAAAAGGGGTGTTGTTGAGGATTCGGGTAAACCGTCTGTCTTTTGGCTGTCCTTAGCCAACAGCATCAAGTCATTTTCGTTTTGCAAAAGATTGTAACTCCCCGTCGGGGAATCGAACCCCGGTCTTCCGCGTGACAGGCGGAGATACTGTCCACTATACTAACGAGGAAGCAACTTGGAAAATTGTTTCATCGAGTGCGCCCCAATCTTACATAGTGTCATGCCCTGCAACGACAATGCCAGCTTTGTTTTTCGACTTCAAAACCCCAAGAGTGAATGGGGCTGTTGCAGATTCTGTGCAACTGTCTGTCTGTTGACTGGCTTAAACTTGCATTGTCCTTAGCCAGTAATCAAAAGCTGATTAGTCATTTGCAATAAACAGAACTCTACTTCAGGGAATAAAATCGAACCACGGTCCTCCGCGCGACAGGCAGCGAAACTGTCCACTATACTAACGAGGTAACAACTCAACACATTGTGTTATCGAGTGCCCCCAATGTTACGTAGTGTCTTTTTCTGCAACAGCAAAGCCATGCTTGTTTTTGGACTTTGAAACCACAAGAGAGAATGTAAAATGTAAAAAGTAATGTAATGTAAAAGCCCTTTGACTTGGAATTTTTGGGCTGCTTTGCTGCTGGCAAAGCAATACAAAAGTGTAAAAAAGACAAGTCCTTTCCGATATTACTCGTTTTGTTGAAGTATGCGGCAATGTGAAAGTAATAAAGAGCCAAGGAAACATTTGCCTAGTGTAAATGGCAATATTGCCCCATCGGGGAATCAAACCCCTGTATTTGCTTGATTAGCAGAGACACTCTCCACTACACTGAAGAACAAACAAACTTACGAGAGCGTGACACAGAGCACGACTCGAAATTTCTAGTCTCACTTTTTGCAACAGCAACATCGTATTTATGTTTTCACCTGGAAAACCCTAGATTGAATTTAAAAGGGGTGTTGTTGAGGATTCGGGTAAACCGTCTGTCTTTTGGCTGTCCTTAGCCAACAGCATCAAGTCATTTTCGTTTTGCAAAAGATTGTAACTCCCCGTCGGGGAATCGAACCCCGGTCTTCCGCGTGACAGGCGGAGATACTGTCCACTATACTAACGAGGAAGCAACTTGGAAAATTGTTTCATCGAGTGCGCCCCAATCTTACATAGTGTCATGCCCTGCAACGACAATGCCAGCTTTGTTTTTCGACTTCAAAACCCCAAGAGTGAATGGGGCTGTTGCAGATTCTGTGCAACTGTC